GGTGCTCAGACAGGAAGGCCAACCTGCCCCGCCGGCCCAGAGAGCTGCCTGGGCACACTCACACCCCCACCACACGTATGCGCACTCTCACACACGCGGCTGGGGGCTGGCCGGGGCTGCTCTTGGCCTAGAAGGTCACAGCCCCAACCGCTTCTGGTGACAAGGCACCAGGACACCATCCGTCGCGAGGGAGCCCGCGGGAAGCCCCAGCCCGAGGGGTGGCCCAGGCCAGCGCCCTTACCATCATGGCAATGAGGGCACATACGTAGCTCTGGTCCATGATGAGGTGGCCCAGGCCGTGCAACGGAGACGTCTCTTTAGGCCCAGTCAGCCTGGGGCGTGCTATGGAGTGAGGGCAGGGGTCACCAGGGAGGCGAGACCCCTGCTGGGGAAACTCCAACGTCAATAGGCCCGAGCCCCTTGCCTATACCCGAGTGGCCCGAAAATGCAGACAGCGTGCTGGAGCCACAGCCCAGGCGGAGGGGGGCCACACCTGGCACAGGCTCACGGGGCACTGGGGGAGGAACACACGGGCAAAGGGCCCGGGCTCCTGTCCGACCCTGTTCCTGATGTGCTGTGAGACCCTGGCCAGTCCTCGCCCCTCTCCAGGCCTTGGCTTCCGAGACTCTGAAGGGATGGGGCGGAGGAGGTTGCCCTAATCCCCTTCCAGCTCTGTGAGCACCCACGTCCCCAGATGCCAGCCCCCGAGGCCAGCGGCTTCATCCTCTGCTTTGTAAAACGGAAATCGAGGCTTAGCACAAAAACAAAAGGAAAAGGAAAAAGCACCACAGAGCCCTGCCCTGGGGACACTGTCTTCACAACTCCCAGGGCCGCAGGGGCAGCCCAAGGCAGAGCAGTCAAGGTCTCTGGCGACTGGAAGGCAGGTGGGGAGTGGGTGGGAGCCTGGAGACCCCCGCAGGGTCTCCGGTTCCATGAGCATCACAGATACGGTGCCCGCCCTGGGCGGCCCCAGAGAGGTGCACAGCTGGACAGGCCGACCGAGCGAGGCCACCAGGGGGCAGCACCCGTGCGGCCGCGTCATACTCACGGGGCCGCTGCTGGACAGGGCTGTGGCCAGTGAGGTCGTGCACGATGCAGTTGTCCTCAGGGTCCGGCGGCACGGGCATCGTGTGCTGCAGACACGCCAAAGCCCGTGAGCCGAGCCTGGGGGCATGGGGGCACCAGCCCCACCGCTCAGTCCGTACCCCTCACCTGCATGGCCTCCTCCTCCTTGGTGGCTGGAACCCTGGCCTGGCCCTGGGGCCGCTGGTCCACCTCGGTCAGCTCCACCTCCAGCTCTGTGTCGCCCCCGGCCGCCTCCTTCCCCTGCGGAGGCCGGAGGGGAGAGCTCAGCCCCCCACCCCAGCCTGAGAGGTGCGGGGACGCAGGGCGCCGGCCTGGGCACTGACCCGGTCCGCGGGCCGGCGTGCTTGGAGCCTCAGGAGCGAGGTCACGGTGTAGCACAGAAGCAGCAGGATGCCGGGGCTCACGTAGACGGGCCAGTCGTGGCTGGTGTTGAGGACCAGCACGTTGGGGCTGGAGCAGTTGGCGGGGGCCACGAAGTCCTTGAGACCAAACACCCTGCCCACAGAAGGTGCATTACCGACCGCGGCAAGGAAGTTCATGGGTGCCAGGCGGGCAGGGCCGGGGCCCCGTGGGCGAGCCCTCACCTGGCCCAGATGCTGGCAGGCGGGAGCATGGACTGGGCGAGGGGCGTCTGGTAGCAGTAGAGGCAGAGGAGATGGCCGGCGCCAAAGCAGCCCACCATGACGCAGAGGGAGCTGAAGCCCAGGGGGCTGATGGGAAAGTGGCAGGCCCACCAGGTGCAGATGGTCAGGAACAGCAGGAAGTAGACACTGGAGAAGGCTGACGGGTGGGCGATGCCTGCGGGCCAGGCAGAGGCGCACAGGGTCACTCCCGGCCTGGGCAGCCTGACCGCCGTCTTGCTGCTCAGCGGGGAGCTTGGCTGCCAAGACCCCTGCCGGCATGACCGCCAGCGGTGGGGTCCCAGCTCCCTGCCCAGTGGGTACCTGCCAGCGCGAGGAGCATTACGGCCAGAGTCCGCCCAGCGGCCACCAGCAGCCAGTGCGCTGTGATCCGGAACCGGGCAGCCAGCCAAGGTCTCCGCTTGCGGGGCAGTGCAGGGGCTTCCTGCAGCCCCATCAGGGAGCCGGTGTCCACGCCCCCATCATCGTGGTCCTGCCGAGGTCACGGGGCGGGCGGAAGTCAGGTGCGTGGGGAGGGGCCACCCCTGCAGCCCCACACCCTCCCCTCCCCTCACCCGGCGCGCGCCCTCCGAGGACACGGGGCCGCCAGCCTGAGCCCGGCCGCCTGCTGCCCTCCAGGCCCAGCTCCGCCCACCGTCTTCCCACCACCTCGCTCGGGTTCACGGCCCTGGAGGGGGCCCACTGCGGCAGCAAGACACGCTCCTGCCAAGGCTTGGCGCTCAGATGACTGACCGGTGCAGGCTGACCTCACAGTGCTCCGGAGCCCCTCAAGGGCCTCTTTGCTCCCCACCCCCACCAGGGGACCCTGAGAACAGGGCAGGCCCACAGGTTCCTGCATCTGTCCCCAGTGCCCTCGGCCTGAGGGGGCCCGTGTGGGGATTTTTAGGGAAAAGAAAAGCAGCGCACAGCACAGCCACGTGTGCATCTCTACAGTTAGAGGGCACCTCTACGCCCTATCCTTGGTCCCACGGCACCTTCCTCGTCAGTACAGTAACGGGGGCTCGGAGGGGACCCCAAATCACACAGCCAGGAAGGACAGCGCCCAGGGTGCAGCCGCCTCCTGCTCTGCTGCCTAGTGGGGCTTCTGGAGAGTGAGATGCACACCTGGGCGGCCCTTCCGGCCTCAGCTGCCTGCGGGGCAGAAAGACCCACCAGGTCCTGCTGCCCTGGTCCCACCTCAGGGTTTCCCAGAACAGAGCAGTTTCCTGGAACCAGGGAGGCCAGGAGGAGGCAGAAAGAACACAGACTCTTTGTCAGACGCCAGCTGTAACATGGGCGCCGTGCCTATGCCCTGCCCCGTGGCAGAGGTGGCCCTTGGTGTTCAGGCTGACAGCACGGGCTCAGGGGCCCGGTGCCCCGGTCAGTCACACACCGGCTTTGAGTCGAGGATTAGGGGTCTCGCCTGTGCAGCCTTGGTGAGCTCCCTAACCGCTCTCAGTCTGTTTCCTGCCTGTCAAATGAGGGTGGGGCACGGGGCAGGCCCCAGGGAGGTGCCACTGAGCCGTGCCTGGAAGGAGGGGAGGGGACAGGCCAGGGCAGAGGCCCAGCCATGGGGTCAGAGCAGTACCCATGGTCCCCCCATTATGCACCAGAACGGGGGGATAGGGGGACAGCTGCTGGAAGGCGCTGCAGCCAGGCCCGAGCTCAACCCTGCCCACAGCCTGGCCCCGGCCCTGGGAAAGCTGCCGTGGAAAATGAGCGTTTCTGGGAGTGGGAAGAACAGAGGCAGCTGCTGGGCAGAAGGACAGCTGCTGGGGGCCGCCCGCATGGTCCAGCCCACCCAGGCCCGGCTCCGGCCCCGCCTCGGCCGGCCCCCCAGGACGCACCTCCCACCGCAGCCCCAATGACCCCCTCAGGGCAGGCACGGACCCACGTGTGCCAAGTCAGGATGGGCGCGTGTACACAGATCATGTGCAGCCGCGTGTGCCGCGGCCCTGCCAGGTGGCAGCATCCACACAGGGGCGCTGGGGCTGCTTCTGGCCTTGAACTCCGGGCGCCTGTGATGGGCCCCCATGGCCTTGCTCTGAGGTCTGTCTACACCAGCCGCCCCGGGGCCAGAGTTCAGCCCCCAGGGGCTGCCAGGACAGCCCTGTGCTCCGAGGGGTGATGCGCAGCGTGGACTGGGGAGCTGGCCCCTCCCGCCCACCCCAGGCATGGGGACCAAGCCGGCCCCTTCCCAGTGATGCTGTACCGGGAAGCCCCGGCTCTGCTAACGAGGAAACCAGAGGCCTCCCTGGCCCCTGCGCCCGCCGGTGCCCATGCACCGGGGGGATGGAGGGGGACGGCCAAGTCAGGGAGCCACCCCGAGGGCAGGCAGCAGGGCGGTCCCAGCCCCACTTGACCCCCACAAGTGCCTGGAAAAGCCAGTCTACGTCCAGGCCCCCGTCTCCCTCTCTGAAATGCGGGTGCCAGCCTTGCCCTGCAGGACTCGGGGGATGGGCAGGTCAGCTGTAGGCTGAGCCCCGCCTCAGCCTGCGGTAGGAAGTCCCCTTCTCCCTGAGGACTGAGGCCCTCGTTTCCGCAAGCATCACCCTGGATGGCCACAGACCCGGCCCAGCCCCGGAGACCAGGTCCTACTCGACAGAGGCTGAGGCCGAGTGTGAGGGGCCCAGACTGGGCTCGAGACCACAGCCCTCGTGCAGGGACAGGAGAGGACACGGAGGGTAGAGCCCAGGGGGACCCCGAGGACTCTGGCAGAGGGCCCTGCTTCAGGCCTCTGAGCCGACACAGCCCCTGCCTGGACACACACAGCCCACCGATGGCCCCACTGTGGGCACGGCTGCTCAAACATTGTCTGTCCCTCCGTCGGTCCATCCATTCACCCATCGGTCCCTACGTGCTCCCTGACGGCTGGCGCAGACCATCCTCCAAGAGCGCTGACTCCCTACTGCCCTGCGGCCCCGAAGACCCTCTTCCAGGGGCAGCTCTAAAGGCGCAGGCGCTGCCGGGGTCCCTGCACGCGCTAGGACCACGCGCTGCATTGCTAGCAACCCCCCACGGGGACGCGCACTTGACCTCCTCCGTTGCTGTGTCTCTCCACGATGGGCATATACGGACTTTTACAACTAAAACGTCCACGTTTGTAGAAAGAAAGAAACAGATAGAGGGAGAGAGGAAGGAAAAGAAAGTACAATAGTCCTCAGATGGCTGGGACACAGGCGCGCCCCCATCCCTCACCGGCTCCTGGGCACGCTGGCTCCGCCGGGGCGTCCGCATACGATGCCTGCAAACGCCAAGGCACAGGGAGGAGGCCGCCAGGACACCCAGGTCGGGGGCCACCAGGCGGATGGCGTTGGGCACGTCCTTCAGGTCCAGCCTGTGGAGGGCGGGGAAAGCCCGTGGCTGGCTCAGGGGGGCAGGTGCCAGCAGGGGGCACCCCGGGAGCTGGAGGCCCAGGAAATCCCCGAGGGAGGCTGGGGGACTCACCTCGTGACCCCTATGTGTCGGGAGACGGTGTCCCAGATGCTGCCTGCAGAGAGAGGCACGGGGGAACCAGGTCAGGCGGGCGGGTGCCGAGAAACCCCTTCCGTGTTGCCAGGAGGGCCTCGGGAGCCCCAGAGCCACGGAACCCCTGGTGTCCGGGGGTGCTTGAGAACGCTGCCTCCACCGGTAGGGTAACTGAGGCCCAGCCAGGGAAAGCTGGGCAGATCAAAGCCCATTAGTCCTGCCTGGCAGAATGGGTTTCATGGCCCAGTCGGGCGCTGCGTGGCCCGGGAGGCTGGGCCAGGCTCTCGGACCCATCGGCCGAGGCCAGCTGCTCCTTGGGGGCCCGAGTGGGGAGGGCTGGTCTAAGAGCCGCCAGAACCAGAGGGCCCTCGAGGCACCTGACTTCTCTCCAGTTTCTAAACTGCAGGAGAGACACGATCTTCACGGAATGAAAATGGGAAGCGGGGTGGGACAGCCTGTCCACCACGAGCCAATAGGACGTGGAGGTGGGAGACCCCACCGGGCAGTGGGGATGGGAGCCCAGGGTTCCGTCGTGTGAACACTGGGGCACTAGTGTCGGTGGAGGTGGGAGGGCTGGGCGCCGGCTGGGGATTCCATCCTCAGGGTGAAAGGGCGCAGGGCAGTGGACGGGCGGCACACCAGGGCCCGCCCCCCCACCCCCACCTCAGCCAAGTCTCTCTGCCCCAGAGGGCTCAGGAGGAAGATGTGAGACGGAGGGGCCTGAGAAGACCGGGGCTGCCCGGACAGAGTGCTCTGGGACCAGCACTGGGCCGGGGCTCAGCCCAGCCCCACGGCCACCTATTACCGGGGCACTTAAGCTGGGCCATTTGGGCTGGATGTAAATCATGGCTGGGCACTCAGAGGCGGCCCATATTAGGCAAGGCCTGGGTGAGGCAGGGCGGCCCCTGAGGCTGAGCTGACCTTTCCAAGGAGCCTGAGGCTCCCCCACCCTCCCCAGGCTCTCCAGTCCCTCAGGAGGCCATCGGCTCTCCCCCGGGCCTGCTGCCCCCAGGCACCCCCTTCCCGGCCCTTCGTGACTCACAGCTCGGCCCCAGAAGCTGGTCCAGGTGGGGCACAGTGTGCAGGCATATCTGGAAGGTGAGGTGGGCTGCCAGGAAGAGGAGGCTGAAACCCAGCAGGGCTCGCAAGAGGCGGCCGGTGTGACCTGGAGGCAGAGACGCAGCGGTGGGGCCGGCACGCAGCCAGGCAGGGGGATGCAGAGGGAGCAGACCGCTCAAGGCCACTCAGCCCTGGCTACCAGCTCTGAGCCAGGCTGTGCGCACCAGCCCAAGACACACACCCAGCACGGACCCAGGGTCTTACGGGGCCGTGAGAAGCGAGCTAGCCCATGCAGCACACCCCTCCTACACCAGCCCACTGACAGCTCACCCAGCCCCGTGGTCCAGCACTATCACGACCCCAATTTACAGACGGAAACGGACACAGAGAGGTGAAGTGACTTGCCCACAGTCACACAACAAGGAATCAGCAGAGTACAGTACACCCATCCTGCCTGCTCTTGGTCTTGTCCCCTTCCTGGGGCGTGGAGCAGTGGGGGCAGAGCCAGTGCAGGAAGGAAAAGCCCCCTCGGGCTGGGAGGCCACCTTCAGTTTTGCTCATGTATCCAGGAAACATCTGTGTTGCTGCTTGACCCTGGCAGCGGGGTGCCGCTTCATGCCCAGTGCGGGCTGAAAGCACGCACCGTGCAGGGAAGGCCCCGCCCAGCGCTCGACCACACTGCTTATCGAACCTGGGATGCTCTCCTGCCCACAACAAAGCCTCAGGCTCCCAGAGGCGGCTGTACCCTGGGAAGTCACACGATGAGTTGATGTATGGGAGGAGAAATGAATGGATGGATGGACGAAGGGATGAGGGGATGGATGAGGAACAAATGGATGGATGGAATGATGGGAGAAAGGATGGATAAATGGTGGATGAGAGGATGTATGATGGGGGACAGATGGGGGAATGGATGGATGAGAGGATGGCTGGATGGATGAGAGGATGGATAGCTGGGAGGAGAGATGGATGGATGGATTGGAGGGCAGATACATGAATGAATGGGTGGATGGGAGGACGGGAGGCTGTATGGATTAGAGGACAGTTGGGTGGAGAATGAGAGGATAGAGGGATGGCTGACAGCAGTGTTGGGTGAGGCCAAAGGGCAGCTCTGATTTCAGAGGGGGAGGGGGGTCAAGCCAGTGTTGAGCTCCTGAATTGCCCAGGAGGGATAAAGGCCGTGGCAGGTGACCACTAGAGTCTACCACAGTGAACTCCGAGGTTCGGCCCTGAGTGCCAGAAAGAGCAAGTATCGGTGGGCGCACACGCGTGTGTGTATGTGTGCGTGTGTGTCAAGGGTGCGTATGGGCGCTGGACCACACACTGCACTTGCTGGAAGCGTCGCCTGTCTCTCTCCTTGACCTGGGGTCACTCGTTCGGCCACGTGAGGCCTGCACAGCACAGGAGCACTGCGGGAGGATGGGGCCTGCCTTCGTGGGCAGGCAACCCCACCTCTGCCGTGCAGGGCAGGGGTCACACGGAAGTCTCTCCTCCTGAAGGAGCCGGGGCTCCGCTCAGGGACTTTAGGCTCAGGCAGGAACCTGGAGAAGCAGGAAGTGGGGCTGGGAGGCTGTGGCTCCAGGAGCAGAAGAGAGGGAGGCTCGTGGCAGGTACAAGGAGCATCTGTCTGACCCAGAGCGGCACCGGGCTTGAGCCCCAAACCTCCCTGACGCGGCTGCTCAGTCTGCAAACGCTCCAGGGCATCTCCGCCCTCGGCACTACCTGCTGCCACGAAGGCCCCGCTCCCACGACCCTGTTCTGGGGCAGCCCCAGCCCCTGCGGGTGGGGCGCCCACGCTGGGCCCTCCTGACGGAACCTGCGCAAGTGGAGCTGAGGGAAGGGGCATCCTCCGGTCGTCCGAGGCTCCGTCACACCGAGGACGGTGCAGAGGTGGGGCAGGGAGGGACAGGGTCCCCACGGGCGGAAATCAGAGTCGGAGCAGGAGGCCCTGGCCGGGGGCAGCGGGGGGCCCATCTGCTCTGCCGACCCCGGGGCGTCGTCTGCTCACAGGCAGGAGGGCGCAGGTCTGGGGAGGATGGCGGAGCCTCTCATCCCCTCATCCGGCAAAGACAGGGAGCCTCCCGGTGCACTGACTGCTCTGCGAGGGGAACCGGACCCGCCCACCCGGCCCACCACGTCCAAACAGCACCTGAGTTAAAGCACAGCCGAGGGGCTCCAGGGGCAGGTGCACCCGCTCCCGCGAGCAGCTGCGGGGCTGGGCTTTGTTCTAAGGCAGGGACAGGGCCTCCCTGAGTCCCTAAACATTAATCAGGTCGCCAGGAGCTGACCCTCGGTTCTACCTGCAGCTCTGCGGCACTTCTGCCCTGCCCTGCCCTGCGTGGGGCACGTGGCCCACGTGGCCCACGGCCGCCGCCCCATCGCCCGGCAAAGTGATGGTCCTGACCCCTCTCCGCCCTGCACAGGGAGCCGGGGTCAGGCTGACGCCCCCACGGGGATGGGGCCAGGAATCAATCGGCGCCCACGGGCACCCTGCGCAGCCTCAGACCTTCCACCTGCTGCCGGCGCCGAGGCCCAGCTGCGGCACAGGCACGGCCAGGCCTCACATTTTCCTCTCTCCTGCCCGGAAAAACCCGGCAACCTCGTGTCCCTGAAGGGCCTCTGGGGCTGGAGAGATGGACGGATGGAGGTCAGGCGGGCAAGTCTTCCCAGCGCCTCTCCCTCTGCTCCCTGACCCTTCCCCACTCTGGACTCCTGCCCTGGCCGGGAGCCTGTGCTTCCGCCACTGCCAATTAGAGGAAAGTGTTCCCAGTTGCTAGCGGGCAGGAAATACTGACAGAACAAGCAGCTCTGAGCCGAGAGCCCGGGAACGGGGTCCACGGAGAGGAGAGAAAGGCCTGGATGCCAGACTCTGCCCAGCAGCCCTCCCCAGGGAGCTGGGAGTTGGGGGGCAGCTGGGCCAGCTGGCTGGGGAGGGGTCTGGGCAGGGCTCCCCCGTGGCTCCCTGCTCTGCACCCGTGCTGGGGCCACTCCCCTGAATTCTACGCACACTGCGAGATCAGGGCTCCGTATGAGTGCCCCAAGCGGGGAGAGAGGCTGAGGAGGGGGTTACCGCCAGATGCCACAGGCCGGGGAGGGGTGACCTGCCACCCTGTAGAAGGCAGAATGACATTCCTTCGGGGAAATCCATGCCCAATCCGGGGGCCCTGGGAGTGCTTCCTGACACAGCAGAGGGGAACCAACGGTGCCAATCAGCTGGACTTCCAGCAGGGAGCTGCCCCTGGCTCCCCTGGAAGGGGAGGTCCTAACTGTGGAGAGAGGGCAGGGGGGCAGAGTCAGAGTGACAGGGCGTGACTGTCACTGACTGGCCATCGCCAACCTGGACAACGGAGGGAGAGGCCCCGAGCCAAGAAGCTGGGAAGCAGGTGCTCCCAGAGCCTCCAGGAGGGACCAGCCCTGCGACACCTGGGCTTTCGCCCCATGAGGCCCGGGCCAGACTCCGACCTCTGGGCTGTGGGTGGGGACGTGTCGTGTGGCCGCTCAGTATGGGGTGGTCTCAGCAGCCACAGGCCATGCCCGAGGCCCCAGAGTGGCCGGCACCCCCCGGGGGCAGTGCGTGGGCACACCTCCCTCCAGGGTCTCGGCCAAACCCTCGGCCCGCCGGGCACGGGGGGTCACACCATGACAACTTGCTCCTTGGGTGCCTCTCTTCACCCTCCAAAACCTAACAGCCTCCCTACCAAGGGGCACAGAGCAGTCCCCAGGCACCTGTCCTCACCGAGAAGCCGGGATGACAGCAGATCCAGAAGCACCCAGAGAGCAGCTGGTGGGAGCCCCAGGGCGAAGGGACCCCTCAGCCGTGCCCCCTTCCCGTGCCACCTGCCTGCAGGCCTGCACCTCCCTTCGCAGGGGCCCTTCCATCGCCTCCCTTCACAGGGGCCCGTGCTCTGCTGGGCAGGGGGCAGGGCACCTCCTACGCAGGGATCCTCTCCATTCCAGCTCCTCTCGGACGAGCCCGCGCCATGGGCACCACCGTCCACACCGTCCTGGGGGCCCAGGCGCCCTGATGGGCCTTCCCGCCCATCTGCCTGGTGGACACAGAGGCTGCCCTCCAAGAGCTCAGAACCAGGTGGAGACCGTCGTGCGCCCAGCTACCCCGTTACCCCGACGACGAGGTGGTCGGGGGGGGGGGGGGCCGGGGCCCCCGAGCCAAACCAGCGCTGGGATGTGCCCGAGGCCGTGGAGGGGATGGGGGGGGGGGGGGGGGGGGAGCCGTGGCCGCGCAGCATGCCGAGCGCACATGGATGGAGCCTGAGTCCACGGCGGGACGGGGGAGCCGGCGTGGCAGCTGGACTTAAGGTTGGCCGCAGCCGCTCAGGGCAGATGGGCCGCAAGGACAGCGCTGGGACAGGGTGGGGATTGGGGGAGGGACCCGGTGGGAAGGCGGCCCAGCCCACAGCCAGGAGACACCCCAGGGGCCTCCTGCATCATGGCCCCTGTGGCACGAGGTCAGAAAAGAGATTCTGAAACCAGCCAAGGGTCCTCCATGAAAAATGAAACTCAGGACCACCCATCCTTCCCTGGTGGCTCCTCAACCGCAGAGAAAGCCCATCCATGCCCGGTTCTGCCGGGGCCCCAACGCTCCCCCACCCCCCAGGCACCTGCACAAAGGGCTCCGAGACCCCGAGTCACCCCCCCGACCCAGCAGAGCCCTACCCGCCCTTACCTTGGATGCTGTGCCGGGAGGGGCCCGGGAACCAGGGCAGCAGCAGCAGGAACAGCAGGTAGACCAGCGAGAGCGCGTTGATGCGCAAGAGGCAGGCTGCGGAGCAGACAGGACGCGGTCAGCCCGGCTGCGGGGGGTGGGGCAACCAGCCCCGCGCCCCCCGGCCATCGCCCCCTGAGCCTCCCTGCCGTGGGTGCTGTGCGTGTCACCCCTGCGTGGGCGAGCGACCTCGCTCAATGCGTGACGTGTCACTGTTACAGGGAGCACCGTGCCTGACTTAACGACGGCTCTGCTGTCTGTTGACAAGCGTGGCTGTCGTGTCTGCATGTGCCTCAGGCACCCACCCCGCGGAGCCCCTGCCACGGGGCCAACCCTGAGGTCACGACATTCTCCCGACTTGCTTTCTCTCCTTTGTAAGATGTTTTCAGTCGACACACAGTACGGCTGATTTTGGGGTCCAGCTCTCTTGGCCTCCTCCCCCCACCTCTGCCTCCCAGACAGCCGGGTGCGCCCACTCGGGCCACAGCCGGGCCCCCCAGCACGTCGCCCAGGGCACAAGTCACGCACGTGTCTGCAGCCGCTCCACCTCTCCCCTCACTGACTCGAGGGTGCCCCCCACGTCTTGCACTGCTGACCCCATCCTGATGAACTGCAGTGGGTGCCGAGACCCCACCCGCCCCCAGGAAGTGAGGGGGTCTGGGGACGCCAGGGACGTGCCTTGTGTCCCAACTTGGGTCTCGTCACTGAGCAAATGGGCCACTCAGCCTTTCCCGGGGACCCGAGACGGGGCTGGGCCAGGAAAGCCCGAGAGGGGACCAGCATCGCGTGGGCAGCCCTGGCGAGGTCCCCAGGCTGGAGCCACCTCTGGCCACTCTGCTCCTCAATCACCACGGCCAGCAAGCGGGCCCGGGGGACCCAGCCCTGCCCACCCAGGCCCAGGACAGAGCAGCCGGCTGTGGGCGCCAGTGTCCACCGTGGATCCGACCCCCAGCCCCCGGCCCCCGTGGACGGCCCAGCCTCACGGTCCCGTCATCGTGATTGAGCAGAGCTGCACGGGGTAGAAGCCCACCCCGATCGGGTCTCCAAGAGGGGGTCGCTATCCCACCCTCCGCGCTCTGCCCCTCCGACCCCCAGGTGTGGACCGTGAGGCCAGCAATGGCTCGACCGCCACTTAGCAGCCGTCTGGACGGCCTGGGCCAGAACAAGCCAACCTGAACCCGGCCACCGACTCAGCTATGCCGACAATCTCCCCGGAGCAGGTGGCAGGGCCAGGTGGGGTGTTCAGCCCCTTCCCACTGTCTCCTCAAGCCCCCCATCACCCCAGCAATGAGAAAGCCCAGAGCACCACACGGCCAGCGCCACGGTCCCGAGCTCTGGTCAGGCCGCCTTCCTTTCTGGACGCTGCCGCGCCCTCCCGCTGCCCGGAGCACCCCTAAAGCTTAGCAGCCTCCTTCCACCACGTACACCTGCCACAGCCAACAGCTCAACTCAAAACCTAAAGCTTTTCCACGAATGTACGTTTTCGTAAAAACAAAAAAATCAACCCGATCCGGCCCAAGAGGCAGGACGGAACTGCATTTACGGCAAAGGCTTGTAAAGTTCCTTTCTGTTTCCCAGAGCTGCACTTTTCAGCCTGCTGGGTTCTGCCCCTCTCCTTCCAAAGTGCCAGCCAGGTGGTACCCACCCACCCAGCCATCCAGGTAACTTTCTCCTGAGGGCACACGCTGCAGTTCTCTGCCCTGAGGTACTCATGTTCTGATCCGCCCGGGACACCAGAGCTGAACAAGCACACGCGCACCAGCCACGGCGTTCACTAGCCCGTGACGGGGAGGCGAACGCGGTGCGCGTCCTGGGGAAGCTCCCGGAGGCCTGGCTCTGACGCTGACGCTGACGCTGACCCAGGGCGCCGAGACGGAAGTAGCGCTTCCCAGATGAGGGTTTCAGTCCGGAAGATGCAAAGTTCCAGAGGTGGTGGTGACGGTTGCACCATACTGAGAATGTACTTGATGCCACTGAACCACACACTTAAAAATGGTTAAAGGGGCTTCCCTGGTGGCGCAGTGGTTGAGAGTCCGCCTGCCGATGCGGGGGACGCGGGTTCGCGCCCCGGTCCGGGAGGATCCCACATGCCGCGGAGTGGCTGGGCCCCGTGAGCCATGGCCGCTGAGCCTGCGCGTCCGGAGCCTGTGCTCCGCAACGGGAGAGGCCACGACAGTGAGAGGCCCGCGTACCGCAAAAAAAAAAAAAAAAAAAAAAAAGGTTAAGGGACTTCCCTGGCGGTCCGGGGTTAAGACTCTGTGCTTCCACTGCAGGGGCCACAGGCTCGATATCTGGTCGGGGAACTAAGATCCCGCATGCTGCGTGGTGTGGCCCCCAAAGTTAATAATGATAAATAAATAAAATGGTTAAGATAGTAAATTTTATCTTATGTGTATTTTACCAAAATAAAAGAACAAACAGCCCCAGAAATCAGTGAAGGATCTCAGAGACCAGAACTGGATGGGCAGGGGCCAGCCAGAACCCTGTTGTCTGCAGCCAGTGGAGCTGGGCCTCCGTCCCCTCCCCAGCCCCAGGCCAAGCAGGAGGAAAAGGACCTAGAAGCTCCATCTGCCAAAAGCAGGAAATCAGAGATGAAGAGTCAGAGGGGGCAGGGTCGGGGGAGCGCGTGGGACAACGGGGGCGGGGAGGGGGGCGGGGATGGACAGCACGTCAGCCCCAGGTGGGCGCTGCCAGACACTGCCCCACCCTGGGAGGGTCGCCGGGGCGCACAGGACCTGCCCTGGAGGGGCGACAACGGCCCCTCAGAGTCACTCATTCATTAGACAGAGAGGGCAGAGACTGAGGATGAGCGCGGCCTGGGACGCGAGCGTCTCCACCAACACAGATGAGGAAACAGAGGCGATGGGGTGTCTAGGAGTGCGGCCCCCCCAGAGACTGGCCACCAGATGATCCCCCTGCCAGGAAGCTGGCACCGGCAGGCAGGTGGCGCCAGACAGCCCTGGACGCTGACCCAGGGGACGTGAGCCAGGACAGCTGGGCCCGCTGGCCCCCAGCCCCAGCAGGGTCACCCGGGGCCAGGATGAGAGAGGGGGCGGGGGTCACATTCCCAGCCCACCTCCCCTCCCTGTTATCAAGGCCTGGGGACAGGGTAAGAGGCCAGCAGAGCAACAGTGGCCCGGGGCCAGCACGGGAGCAGGGAGCAGAGGCAAACAGGACTCTAAACGGGGAGCTGAGCCGACTCTCACGTTCTCCCCTGTTCAGAGGGGGAATCAGGTTCCCACAGGAGAAGGGCTTCCGTGCTGCGAGAGTGAGGACTTGGGTCCAGACTCCTGGCTCCACACCTAGCCCTCGGGCCACTGGTCTAAGTGCCACGAATGTGGCCTCACTGTGACTGCATGACAAGGAGGCTCAGGGCATCTGAGCAGGCCGCCTGGAGGAGGTGGCATTGCTTTTGGCCTTGAGGGCCGGCTAAGACTCAGGGGAGGCCAGGGGAGGTTTGGGGCAGCCCCAGGCTCCAAGAGAAGGAGGACGCTCGGGTGGAGAGGCGGTGGGGACGCCCTGAGGAGGGGGACAGGCCTGCTCGGCCCAGGCAGCTCCCAGCTCCCCATCAGAGCTGCCCGTGGCTGGTGACCTCATGGGGGAAATACGCCTTTTCCCGAGCCAGGAACAATAGGATGGGGTGAGGGCAGAGGGAAAGCCAGCAGGGCTGCCTGCTGGGCGGGAAAGGCTCCCCCCACCCCTGCCGGCATGTTTAACCCTTCAGAGACCCTCACCCAGCACATCAGAGCCTGGTCCTGCAGATGGGGAAAGTGACCCCTGGTCTCAGCTGGTGCCCAGCCAGGAAGGGAGGGCAGGGAGGCCGGCGTGGAGGTTACAAACACCCGGGACGTTGCACACAGAGCTGGACGCCACGGCCCGGCCTGCAGGGAGATGGGGGCCCTGTGGGGAGGGGGGCGGCCAGACGTCGAAGACACCAGGTGCACCCGCAGTGCCGTGACGTCACCCCAAGGCTGGCCTGCACCCCGGGTGGGAGAAAAGGACACGAGGCCCATCCTCCCGAGGGAGCTTGAGGAGGCCGCCCGCCCCGAGCCTCAGTTTCCCCATCTGTGAAGTGGGGGAAGGCGTGCAGTGTGAAGGGCTGTGGGAGGGGGATGGGCAACTCTTCACGCACGCTCGGGGTCCTCACCTCGACCCTCCGAGGGGTGTTCTAGCCCCATGCGGGGAAGCCCCGGGAGGCCAGCCTGAGCACCACGCCATCGGCCAGTGGCACCTGCAGGCCAGCATGGGCGGGTGACCCCAGAGGCTTGCAGGGGCAGCACGAGAAGGCTCAGAGGTCATGCCAGGCCTGCGTCAGCATCAGAGCTGAAACGACAGTGGGCCTGGGAGAGACCCAGAGAGAGGCCAGGACTGGGGGGGACGCACCACGGCCGCCATGACTGCCCAGCACCCGTGAGGGGCACGACTGTCGCCTGTACTTTGCAGATGAGGAAACTGAGCAAGGCGGCTGAAGCTGAGGGATGGGGGCTGACACCCCCCAGAAATGGTGTGGGTCTAGGTGGCCCAGAGAGCAGAAGTGGGTGGGTGAGGGTCAGCCCCAGGCGCTGCTGAACACGACCTACCG